CCCCCCCCCCCCTCCTCCTATACCTCATTCACACCAACGGTGTTTCAGGGCCGGTTCGGAGCTGGAGCTTGAAAAGCTTTTGAAACAGGGCTGAAACAGAGGGGATTATGGGATGATGCAATGATCTGTTTGGTGTTTAGAGCCAAACACTTCAGAGACATGTTTTGTATATATCTGAGACCCATAATATATTGATTAAAAACAGTAAAATAGGGGACCTTTTAAAAATACCACTAGAACACTGTAATGTGTGTTTGAAGAGAAATTAGCGTGTCTTTGATGTACAGAATCACACTTTGGATAATTTAATGTTTCAGCAATGACACCATAGATTTTGTGTTAGAACGGTATTTAAATCTTCATTATGATATTTTGCCGTTTCCTTCATTAGCTACGTGCTGAGGAGGATCCTGCGTCGCGCAGTCCGTTATTCCCATGAGAAGCTCGGAGCCCAGAAAGGCTTTTTTGCCACTCTGGTGGATGTGGTGGTCGATTCCCTGGTGAGGTTTTCTATTCTTTCACCTTAATATTGTGCACATATCATGTTTGATCTGTTCTCTACTGTTAAATATTCACTTTGGAGCTTTCTACCATCCTAACACAATACCCTCTCTTCTACATGTCCATCCACAATACACATCATCTCTTCTTCAGGGCAATGCCTTCCCTGAGTTGAAGAAAGATCCTGAAGTGGTGAAGGACATTTATTAACGAGGAGGAGGGTGCACGTTCCTACAAAACCCCTCAGCAGGGGGGCGCCGTATCCTCGACAGGAAGATCATGAGTCTGGGAGAGAACAAGACCATTCCAGGTGAGAGAGTTCAAGTGTACTTTGCCCTTTCCTCTATCCCTTTCTTCCGTTGCTCAGTTTTTGGTCTTTTAAACTGATCCGATTTGGTCGTAGTCATTATGGATAGGTTTCTCTTTTTTCACATGTCTGTCTCACCATATATAATGTGTTACATTTTCTTATTCACTATTTTGAACCGCTCAGATTTGCTAAAGGAAAGCGACTATAATTAGAAAAGCCAAAACACTAATAAGAGATCTATCACAAAATAAGTCGTTGAGACAGATTGTTGTCTACCTCAGGGTTTTTACTTGCACTTCTTCTTTGTCCCGAGGCGACAAATTGAAGCTAGTGCTAAAATGCCAGTCTATCCGTGACTTCTCCTACATTTACATACCCTCACATCGAACTCTTTGCTGCTGACTGCATTACTTTGTTGGAATAACATGTTTTCTCTTTGACTCATGGAGTCTTTGAGCATTGTAGCTTCAAACAGTCTCCTGCATATCAATCAGCTTTTGTTTCTCCCTACCAGGTGACACAGCATGGCTGCTATACGACACATACGGCTTCCCTCTGGACCTGACCTCCCTCATCGCAGAGGAGAAAGGCATGGCGGTGGACGTGGCTTCCTTTGAGGAGGAGAAGAAGGCAGCACAGGTGAGGACGCCTGGAGGGCTGATGTTAACTGATTGTTTGAATCTGCCTTAGCTGGGAGGGGAAACTCCACTGAGCAGTGTTTTGTGTCCTCTCCCGTGGGTACACTTGTTCCCCTTGTGTCAGCGTTTTCCAGTATTGCACTGTAAGTCAGAACCAGAAGCGGTGCACCTGCTGTTTTAAATAATCCCTCATTTACTTTACAGCCCTCTGCTTATCCCTTAGTTTTGCAAAGAGATTGATGTATTTTCAAGTTTACTGCAGCCTCAGACTGCTGTCCAACACAACAGTGAAGTGTGTAGACATGCTGTCATTGCAGTCACAGTATCCGTTTTTATATTTCCTAAGTATACCCAATAGAACACAACAGAAAGTCCAAACTTTGTGAAGCTTGTAAAGGTTGTTTTTGGTTGAAGCTATCAGAGTTTTCTACACTGAGGTTTAGTTAAACATAGCTTGAAGAGAATATGAACACAAACTGAACATTAACGCAGCGTCCACACGGCGTGCGTGTCTGAAACTCGACCAACAACCAATCACATGAATCTCCCACCCCGGACACGCAAGCACGCAGTTTGATTGGCTAGAGCTTGGACTGGCATATGTTTTGATTGGCTGACGCTTCCGTCGAAGCTTCAAAAGTTCAACTTTTGAAGCGAGCAAAGCGAAGCGACGCTCCCACAATGTAGTTCGGCCAAGTGTGACGTCACCCCATTCAAAGTGAATGGGAAGAAGCGTTGAAGCTTCAACGCCCCCGCCGTGTGGACGGGCTGTAAAGGCTTTACAAAGATGAGATGTATTCCTGCAGGGATTTAATGCGTTAGATTGTACAGGTGCTCAAAATAAATTGCGTCCCCCCACACAGCGTATATATGTTCTAATATGAACGGTAAAATGGCAAATGGACTTCATTTATAAAACACTGGGGAGGAGGAGAGAAATAGAGTTTTGGAAAGTACACACACTTTTATTTGTAATGTCGTCAGGAGTATTGTTGCTTTGAGAAGAAATGGAGCACATTCATGTAAATAAATTGACTTGTGTTCAATTGTTGTAGAGTTTGGGTGTATAACTGACCAATGACTTTGTGTGTGTAGATAAAGTCCCAGGGTAAGGGGGCAGGAGACGTGGACCACATCATGTTGGACATCTATGCCATTGAAGATCTGAGGAACAAGAACATCCCCGCCACAGACGACTCTTCCAAATACAAATACACGTCTGAGGAAAACGGCAACTACAGTAAGTGGGTTGTATTCTCAAAAGACAGATTTAAAGATCACACGAACGACTGCTAACTCTCTTCCTGTCTGCGTGTCTAGACTTCGAGCAGGCCTCAGCCACGGTGCAGGCTCTGCGCTGCGACCGCGCCTTCTGCGATGAAGTGACCACGGGTCAGGAGTGCGGCGTGCTGCTGGACTCCACTTCCTTCTACGCCGAGCAGGGAGGGCAGACATTCGACGAGGGGTACATGGTTCGAGAGGACGACAGCACAGAGGATGTAAGTGCAATACAAATGAAGAAAACTGAGGCTGTTTGAGAGTTTTGTGAAAACATGAGATTTGGTGCTTGCTTTTTTCACTAAAGCTAATATAGATAGTTGTGCATTTAAAAAGAAATCCAGGTTCTTCCAAAGCTAAAAGTAATTCACCTTTTGTTCATTTTAAATGTATGAGTAATGACAAACACTGCCACTTAGTCAGTGTTTGTTTAAATGGGTTGTGATAGCTGCAGGCAGTAAGACCATGATGTAAGTTGGAAATATCCGCATGTGGACAGGAGAACAGATGAAAGATTGCAAATAGTCTCACAAGTAAGACCCTTGATGCCGTGAAAACACTTTCATTTCACAGTTGTCAAAAAACATTTCAAACCCATTCAAATGTCGGTACTTTGTTTTTTTCTTTTGTATGTCTTGGTATTTTTCTCCAAAACATGCTAAAGGCACTTCTTCTTAATGTATTAGTGTTATGTTCTCTTCTGTATCTGACAACATTTCTTAAAAAACGTCAGAATCTGAAGCATGGGTCTTCAAAATGTATTTAAAATTGATAAAACAAACACACCATCTATCACTTTGTAACTAAACTAACGGGACTTCTGAAATGTCTTATCTGTTTTCTGCGGAACAGAAACAATTCCGAACATTTTGCTTATCCGTCTTTTTTCCTGTCTTGGCAGCGGATGGAGTTCACTGTGAAGAACACGCAGGTTCGAGGAGGTTATGTTCTCCATCTGGGGACGGTCTACGGCACTCTGAAGGTCGGAGACCGCGTCACCTTACGCCTCGATGAGGTGAGAACATAACTCAGTATTTGAAATCTATTATCAACACTTGGGTAACAGTTGGGTAAAACTATATAAAGAACATCATTAATGTATGCTTAATTCATAGTTGCCAATTTTATTGCAAGTAATGCTATTTACTTTTAAGGTTATTTTATGAGTTAAATATTAGACACATTTTATATTCCATAACCAATTGTTTTTAATGATAACCAAATATTTGTAATCATTACGTAGATTGACACTTAATTAATGGTTAAAGTTGATTTGTAAGCGGTCAATAAACATTATTATATAGAATAAATAAATACATACATGTATTTAGAGAAAATCAAATGATTGCTTTCACAAACAATTTCTAAAAAAAATTCAAACCATTGGCTAATCACTAATATATGCTTAATATAGTATATTTAATGCTATAATTTGTGCAACCATAAACTGATAATAGTTCACTTATACAAATTGAATAATTCTTTTTTTATTGTCTTATCAGCTATGATTCAATATATATATATATATATATATATATATATATAATAAAATAACATCAATTAGAGCATGACTAATAAACATTATTTGTTATCCTTTTTATTGTTTTTTAACATTACAATAACTATTAACTCAAATCAATTTACAAAGTAATAATGATTGTTATTATAAAGTGTTACCTAGAGTAGTTTATTCCACTTTTTTAGCATCTGTATCAGATCTGTTTATCTGACACGTATTTGCTCATATACTTTCTCCAGGCTCGTCGTAGGCCAATCATGAGCAACCACACCGCCACACACATCCTGAACTTCGCCCTGCGGGGGGTTCTGGGGGAGGCAGACCAGAGGGGCTCCTCTGTGGCCCCCGACCGTCTGCGCTTTGATTTCACTGCTAAAGGCGCCCTGAGCACGGGGGAGGTCCGCCGGACGGAGGAGATCGCTTGTGCTATCATAAAAGATGCAAAGGTTAGTGGGAACATTCACATGTATTTTTTCAAATGATTCTGATGCATCAGTGACAATTCTATCCAACATCCTCTGCTAAAACCTACACAGAATAAAGGCTTCAAGGTGTCCTATCATGCAAAATGTACTTTTTGATGTCTTTTATACATATGTGTCCCCGGTGTGTCAGGGAACTCACCAAGTGTCAGAAAACAAAACATTCTCTCTTTTCCTCCGTACCCAAATCTCTAAAAACGGGGGTACAACGGAGCTGATCCAGATTTGCCGCCGATATGACGCAATATCAAAAATATTGGCTGGCTTTACGCCAACGGCCCTATCAGACACCTGTACTGGAGAGTATCTGTAAAAGGAAATAAAAGAAGGAACTCACCTTCTAGTAAACCCGCAAGAAAAGAAGCATTTGAGCTCCATACTGTTTCAGAAATAATCCTTGAAGTGGTTTGGAACATGATATGGCGTTTCATCACGGCAGCATTTAGCTGCATCTGAGCAGAGCAGACAGCCTGCTCGTCACAGAACTCACAGTGTGCCAGCTGCTCAAAAGGGGGCGGGGCCAGTAGAGAATCAGCCATTCTCTAACGGGGCTGAAATAGAGGGATATGAGGGATGTCTAAAATGCATGATCTGTTTGGTATTTTGAGCAAAACATGTCATAGACATGTTTTTTTTATGTCTGATACCCATAATATATGTCAGAAATAGCATGATCGGAGCTCTTTAATGTCTCCTTAATAAGGTGATGAGGGACTGAACCAACCTTTAACCCTGATTATAATAATGATTCTAAATATTACACTTTGCTTTCTCCAGCCAGTTTACGCCATGGATGCCCCACTAGCAAAAGCCAAGGCTATCCAGGGTCTGCGCGCCGTCTTCGATGAGACGTACCCCGACCCGGTCCGAGTCGTGTCCATTGGCATCCCCGTGGAGGAGCTGCTGGAGAACCCCGAGAGCACCGCTGGTGCTCTCACATCCATCGAGTTTTGTGGTGGAACGTGAGTGAAATGCTTTACTTTTTCATGGCTGTCTTGCATTTCTTATGCTGACTTGTGACAGGGATGCAAACCACATGCTCCATAACGTTCATCATGATGCTGTCAGTTGAATATGTTTCTGAAGCTTGGTAAATTAGCAGAACAAGACCACAGTTTTAACCTGTTAGCGATTTTGCTACATGAGCTGCTGCTTTGATTGTGAATTCACGGTTACGTCTATGGCATTGCTGATTAATGATACGGCGCATGTTCCACTCCAAACCTGCAGTTTTTAAAGAAATGTCTGTGTCTGCATGAAGCCAACAGTTCTCCCAAGTGTCTGACAAAGTGGAAATGTAATCTGTGGGTTTTTACTGTGAAACAGCCACGTGCAGTCGGAGCCTGGAATAGTTTGTAGAGCTACATTTTTTTGCTGCTGTTTTTTGTAATGTCCTCCTTTCCCCTAACCGCTCTCCTTATTATCTGCCTCCCACAGTTGTGTAACACTGTCGGTAACGTGCTGTTGGTTTCTCTTATCCAAAGCCATCTGCGGAACTCGGGTCACGCCGCGCCGTTTGTCATCGTCTCAGAGGAGGCCATTGCTAAGGGCATCCGCCGCATTGTTGCTGTGACAGGAACAGAGGCCCAGAAGGTCAGAACACACACACACACACACACACACACACACACACACACACACACACACACACACACACACACAGACACACACACACACCAGGGTTTCCGCGGGGTCTTAAAAAGTCTTACATTTGATCATCTGAAATTAAGGCCTTATAAAGGTCTTAAATATGACCAAAAAAATAAGAAAGGTCTTAAATATGATTTAGAAGGTCTTAAAAATGATCGGATTTGAAAGGTACTTCTGTGTTGCGATCGCGTGTAAAATGTGTTTTGGGGAAAATGTCCCGGCTGCAAAGTAACCAGTACAGTAAGAGCCTTTCAGTTCCCCCCAACAATTTGTATTGAACTAAATCAACATGGAACCAGTATCACTAACTTTGTTTCCCCCGGCCCCTTATCGGAGAACACCTAGCTAGTAACCTAGCAACCAAGCTTCAGCTAGCGGCAGTCAGAAACTCATGTCTCTTCGAATCTACTTACAAATAAATATGGGGAAGTGTAAATTCAACCGTATTTGGTTGGAAAACATCGAATTTAGTGCTTGGTTGAAACCAGTGGAGGGGAACGTGTGTGAAGCCCGCTGCACCTTTTGCAAAAGAAATCAGCGTTTGTTTTGCTAATGTAGCGTTAGCTAGTTTAGCGTTAGCCAGTGCAGCAGCTCCCGCAACAACATCGGGGGACCTCCGGGCGACGTTTGGGTCTACGTCAACCCTAAAAGCGGAGGTGCAGTAGACGCTAAATACCGTAGTTAAACACCAATCATACAAAAGCAATGATGAAAGATTGTAGCCAAGGCAGCAGAGCTCTGAATATAGCTCTTGTTACTCTCACACACACACACACACACACACACACACACACACACACACACTACACACACACACACACACACACACACACACACACACACACAGAGATATATATGCAAACACACACACACACACACACACACACACACACACGCACACACACACACACACACACACACACACACACACACACACACACACACACATATATATACAAACACACACACACACACACACACACACACACACACACACACACAGAGAGAGATGCACACAAACGTATGCACTTGCTTTAAGCTTTATGCCCATCTGACACAACCACCCTACCTCTACTTGCATAGAAAATAATTTAGAAAGCATTTTAAAGAAGCTAAATTTGTTCTCCTACAGTTTATGTCTAACTTAGGGCCGTGTTGGTGGTTTTCTTGCTGCCTTTTGACTGAAAACCCTAACTAGATCTCAGTCTTAGGGACTAGATATTTGAATTTGGTCCCTGGTGAGAAAGCCCAGGGATGAAACTTTAATGAAGCTTGTTTTTGTCTTATGCTGAACTTGGAGCTACATCTAGAATTTCTCCCCTCTCTCTCTTGGCCTGAGGACAAATTCATCTTTACTATTTTTAGACAACAATTGCTGTTTGATCCTCCTCTTTTCTTCTTTCCTCTTGCTTCCACGGCTCTTCTTCCTTTTTTCCTTCTTCCCTAATGTCTCCCTTCTAGGGATGGGTATCGTTAAGGTTTTAACGGTACTACTACTTTTATCGATACCGCTTATCGATCCGGCCTTTTAACGGTACTCTTATCGGTTCTTTTGGAGAAAAAAATAAGGTAAACTAACTAAACAAATTGTGAAGAAAACTAACATTGCTTTTTATTTAAATTAAATACATAATATTTCACATCAGAAAAAACAACAGTGTTTGGGGCTACAGAGCTACCAGAAAGACAGTCGAACCCGGTGCATTCCTCCGTCTGAATGTGGTGCACTTTTGCTAAATGTTTCGACAAACTGTTCGTGTTACCGCCCTTACATGCTAAACTCTTATTGCACTTTTGGTAACGAGCATTGTCCACATCGAGACGGGTAAAGTTTAACCACACCTCGGAGCGCGTTCTCTCCGCCATCTCCGCAGTGTATTGCTGCATGTAGCAGCTGCGTGTGTGTAAACTTCCCCGCCCCCTCGCACACAGACGGGAGAGAGAAATCTCTCGTCTGGATTGGAAAGATCAAAAATACTCAGAATAATCATAGACGCATTTTGCAGTCTTTTTGCGAAACTTTAAAAAACTTTTAAAACTTAGAAACTGAGTTGGCGACACTAAAACTGCAATATAATGTTTGTGTAGCAATAATACATATGACATACATTTTTTACATGTCTCCAGACCGATAACGTCGGAGCTTAACGGTACCAGGGTCTTTAATAATTCAGCCCCGGGGCCCGTTTAATACCGGGGCTCGGTACCCATCCCTACTCCCTGATCACTCCTGCTCCACTGCTCATGCTGCCTCTGTCTCACATCCATCAGGCTCAGAGGAAAGCTGACTCCCTGCTCCAGTCTCTGTCCGCACTGGGAGAAAAGGTGAAGCAGCAGACGGACCCCAACAAGGACATCCAGAAAGACATCGCCGACATGACGGAGGTAAATAGCATCTTTGTGCTCAGAAGCCTCCAGTGCAGCTCTGTGAGACGGTACCAACACGTGCGTCCTCTCTGCAGTTGATAGGCACTGCGGTGATCTCCCAGTGGAAGAAGGACGAGATGAGGGAATCCCTGAAGGGCCTGAAGAAGACCATGGATGACTTGGACCGCAACTACAAGGCTGACATCCAGAAGAGAGTCCTGGAAAAGACCAAGGAGGTGATCGAAAGTAGCCCCAACCAAGCGCTGCTCGTCATGGAGATGGAGACCGGGGCCTCAGCTAAGGTAACCAAGAACTGTTAACAGAAGTCCACTGAAAGAATGTAACTGAATACCAAACAAAGCCATTTCTACCTTTTTTGTATTCTTCTAATTCACTCATCAGCGTTAAATACAACTTTGTCCAAGTAGAAGAAAAGGAAATCTATAATTCAAACTCCCAAAAACTACAGACCGTATTAAATTCCAGTTTATCTCTGCAGTGTTGCACTTTTCTCAGACCGTCTCTTAACTTGTCTCATTGTGTTATTGCCATGGGACTAAATCAGCTCTGTGGCCCATTAGTTCTGACCTTGAGACATCAATAGTGTTGATTAGGAGACTTTATCTCGCTGTCCCTACTCTTCCCCTCTTTCCTATCTGACTTTTTTCTTTCCTCCTTATATTTCTCCTTCTCTCAGGCCCTGAACGAGTCCCTGAAGCTGCTGAAGTCGCAATCTCCTCAGACCGCTGCGATGCTCTTCACTGTAGACCCGGAAGCCGGCAAGATCACCTGCCTGTGTCAAGTCCCACAGGTACATGTCCACTCACTCAGTCTCATGCTGACGGCCATTCAGTGCCATGTCTTAAAGGGGCGGTACACCCCAATATAACAAACAATTTTTTTTTACTCTTCACTGTAGTCAGGAGTGTCAGAATACACTGATATTGACAATAATCGTGATACTTATACAAATAAAATCTTGATTTATAGGTAAATCAATGATGGTAATATTGTGTAAATAATCCAGCCCTTAAATAATGTTCTTTTTTGTTTTCTCTTAGTCTCTCTATCCCTAATTACATTTCCAAAAAGAGGCTAAATAAACAGTTAGAAATGAATTTTACTGTTAGAATTTTTATTATTTCCCTTTTCTTCTATAAATAAATGCAATATTTACTACACAATTATCTTGACAAAAGGATTCATGGCACTGCCTGGGGGTTCTCAAAGCGCCAAAAAAATCACCTCCGCTGTAATGTTTACATCTTGTGCTGTTACAACCTCGAGCCTCTTCTCCATTGCTAGATGCACGCTTCGTTCAATGCAGTGACAGGGTAGAAAGCACATAGTTGAACTGCTCTCAACAAGGTCTGTTGAGTTGAGACATTGCTGATTACTTTTTCAATTGTATTTTTGAGGCTATGGCCGTTGTTGCCAAGACGCAACACACACCAACATAATCTAGATTGATTAACAGCACTACATATAAACGGATAAGTAGGTATTTGTAATTTTGGGGTGAATTATCCCTGTTCAAACTAATTAACCCTAAACCTTCCTTCTCTCTTCAGGATGTGGCTAAACGCGGTCTCAAGGCCAGCGAGTGGGTTCAGGAGTTGTGCCCCCTGCTGGACGGCAAAGGAGGCGGCAAGGACATGTCCGCTCAGGCCACGGGCAAGAACACACAGTGCATGCAGGAGGCGCTGCAGATGGCCAACCAGTTTGCACAGCTTAAACTGGGAGAGAACTAAGAGGAGAGAGGGGGCTGTGTGGCAGGTGGGGAGAGGAGATTTAGGTTGCAAATATAGTTCGAGTAGTGAAGGGGAAATAAGGTAACTGTCTAGTCTTAACTGAGTTAGAAATCACCACACATCGTCCTTTCCTTGGTCCATTTCCTCTCCTTTTTTCTTCTCCCTTTTGAAGAAGTAAACAATAACCTTTTATTTAATTCAATCCCCAAAAGCCCAATTGGTTTTGGCTGCTTTAAACTGCAAATAAACTTAACTCTTAGCCTTGGAAAGAGAAGTAAATAAGTCAGCCCAGCTCTAAAAGGATTTAGGCACTGTATGTCCTTTGATCTGTAAACAGTGGCTCCGTCCATCGGTGAGAGCAGAAGCCTGAGCTCTCCCCTGTGGTTGGTTGCACTAGAGTTGTTCACCCACTAGCTGTAACATAGTCTTGCTTTTCGAATAACAAGCCATTATCTGACGTGTAAGAAGACATGGGGTTTATTGTAGTAAAACATATTTCATTAACTGTATAAAATAATCATCAACGTGTCAAATCATTCATCTGTGTAACTTAATTTCGCTCAAGAATACGTCGAATGCAAAATGTCTTTTAGCTGTTTCATGTCAGAAGTGTCATGTTATGGGAATGGAATAAAAACAACTGGTTATGCTACATGTCTGCCTCTCTCCTTTATGTGTGATGATGACATCATAGTGATTCATTTCAGGAGGAAAGTCAACTTTACGCTGAACATCAACTATCAATTACACCACAAGGTTAGACGGATCATTCGATGTGGATCACTGAACAAAAATGATTTGAGTTTCTCGCAGCATCTATTATTAATGCTGTCAGTTTAAATAAGAAGGAATATTGTGTACCTTGTTCAGGCCCAAATTAATGAAATCCTGAAAAAAAGGGCTCCTTGTCCTGTCACATCCAGGCTTATTAGGATACAGTATATCTGAGTATTTCCACCAGAAATACAATTTTTTACTTCACTGCAGAACAGACTTTTACAAAAAAAAAAACCTGGTCTAGCAGGAACCCAAAATTAAACTATGAAACTGGAAATGAGAATGTTATTTTTAACTGGATAGCAAACAATTGCCTATTTTCGGTCCTCACAAACTCAACATCAGACTTCCACCTAACGTTTCATGAAGCTTTATTTGTTCAATAGCATAAGATGCAAAGAGTTTGATCACATATGACGATGTTTCGATGGAGTAATTGCAGGTGTGCTTCCTTGTTCAAAAGGTAGTCCTTCTCAAGAACAGGACATTAAGGCCTGGCAGAAAGAAGCCGCCCACGTGGAAAGATTTCACTTCCAAACTCTAAATCCCTACAGTATCTGTTTCATATGAGCCACCAATGTTTTGCTGGCATGGCAGATGTATAATCTAAACAGCATTTAGTCCTACTTCATAATTGATAGAGGGTACTAGCACTTTAGCTGACAGAGGTATGAGTGTTAGCTTTACAATCCACAGCAACAGTCTGTTTTGTGCAGTGTGCAGCTCAGTGCTGCTAAGGAGCTGTTCCTGTTCAATGCAGACCAGTGGACTGATGAGGAAAAGCAGCAAGCTGGCAACAGCCCACACTGGCAGTGATATGATCAGTATGTATTTGCTCCTTAAAGCTCTCCAACAGTCGGTGAAATGTCTATCCCTGCTGGTGAAACCTATTCTCCATTACCTCAGTAGGACACTGAGCTGCAGCCTCTTTAAAATAAGTCTTATCCTCCTGGGACCCGAGGAAAAAAAAGTTTCTTCCAATTTCCTTTTTTGTGTGATTTCCTACCTATTTAGGGTTAAAAAAAACATCTTGCAATTTAGACTTTTTATTTTGTTTAGACGGATCATTCGTACAGTACGGGGTGGGCCCCTGCTGAAAAGGAAAACCCCCCCGCAGGACTTGATACGCCCCCTTGATAAATAAATGTAATTTTAATGAAACCAGCTGCAATGGATCATGGATCCACCAGGGGGAGCCGTGAAAAGCTGCCACACTGGAACTCATGTGAAATAAACCGCTGATTGATCTACAGGTGTCTGATATAGCGGATATTTGTTAAGATCCATATGTCACGGATAGGATCATATTCTGTGCTAAATAAGAGACATGTAATCATTTACAAAACATCACCATGTTTTTATTTAACAAAATAATGTTGTTTAATTCACGTAGGTGTAAATACAAAACCATCGCTATGTTTTTTCATCAGGAAATGCAGCCCGGCTCAAACAAACGATTTTCAATCATCATCCTCACGATCATTTAATGTAATATATGTTTGCGAATTGAAATGAATGCACTAATACATGCAATTTAATCCACGTGAGTTTACAACAACAAAAAATAATCGCTTTGTTTTTATATCACATCCGACCGGAGGAAAATGCAGCACGGCTCTCACTACCGATAATCCTAATCCGGGCAAACAATAATATGTACAGTGTTAATAGTTTACTGTATTATTAGTGTCTAATATTACTGCTATAACAATCACACATTGAGTTGTTAAAATCAGATCGTTTTTTTTTTTTAAACAGTCTGAATGAAACGGCAGCTCTCAGGTGATCAGGTGTGTGTTTACCAGTGTTGGGACTAACGTGTTACAAACTAACGCACACAACTACCTTTTGCGGTAACTAATAACGTTACAAGTTAACTATTCCCATTCAGTAACGCCGTTATAGTTACTGTGATTTAAATGGGTGCGTTACTGCGTTACATTATGTGATCCAACTGAACCGAATCTCCCTACGGATGTAATTTACAGGCGAATACAGCGATGTCCTCTCACAGTACCATGGAAAAGTGAAAGTGACCAGAGAGGAGTGATGATTGGTTAACGCGGGGTAACATTTCAGGGTAAGCCAATCAGAGACAGAGTTGGGCGGGTCTTGCCTTATGGGGAAAATACACAGACACACAAACACTTGCTAACACACACACGGCAACATCCACCACCAGCACACACACTATGGCAGATGCAAGTATCAGCGAGAGCAGCAGCGCATTTACAACTTGGAGATATATCCACTATTTTCAGTTTGTGGGGATAAAGGACGCACAACATATTACGGACAAATGTAAACTGTGTGCAGGACAGAAAGCATTGTCCACATCGAATAACAGCAATGCCAATC